TCCTGCCTTCCAGCAGAACGACACTCCTCCCCAACTTAGGGGTCAGAATGGAGGTTAGAGATCATGCAGTGCCAGTCTTGTGCCATGGGCAGGGAAACCTTCCACCAGACCAGGTTTCTCAAGGCTTTATCCAACCTGGTTTTGAATACTACCTAATTTGTCAGGTACAGTATAACATGCTAGTTGAAAATAAAAAAACAACATTCATGCATGGTATCACATCGTCTAAGTTACACTCCATTCGTCCACAGTTAGAAACAAATGTAACAGAATTGTAGTGTTCCAAAGCCTGAGGTACAGGAAACCATTGTGTCAGGAACTGAAAGCTGCTTTTGTTATCACTGATGGCATATAGAGCAGTTTTGATGTGTATGTATCTTGTGAATGCTTTGTTAAGTGTAATTGTTTTGGTTTATAGGCATACAAAGGTGTTCTCATACACTTTATGAGAACAAAGTAATCTGACAGGAGATAAGTCTTTCTTAAACTTCTAGCTGCTTATGTTCTGCACTGCTGTTCTAATAGCAGGCTCTAAATATCAATTCCAGTTTTGAATGCTGTATTAGAGTAGCTGATACCTTGAGATGTCATAAATTTCTGAAGGTTTACCCCTGCATTTCCAGTTCTCAGCAGCCAGATGGCCTAGTACTGCCTTTTATTTCCTTCTTTGCTCAGTACCTGAGACCCACTGAGGAGTCTGGAGCTCTCTGATAGACATCTCCTGACTGGGGCTTCCTCTTGGGCCAACAGAGAAAGATGAACCTCATGGATATAACTTGCATTCAAACTGCAATGAATTAGCCTTCTGAATGTGCATCTCTAAGGTAGGAGACTTAAGAGCACAGAGTTTAGAATCTAATCTTAGATACCCTCAGGTGAACACTTACAAATAGCTGAAACAAAGATCACAGAGAGATTCTGTTTAGACATATGAAGACAAAAATGAAAGGAAGGAACTACTAGGTTTTAGGGACATAAACTTATATGAGTTTGAAATGGCAGCCTGAAAACAACTCTTCAAGAGTTCAGCTAAAAAGTCACCTTTTATTCTAATTTGTGTTAAAATTCCCCAGGCAGCATGTTCTTACAGATGCTTATGTTTAAACTTGCACAAGGACTTACTGATTTTTTTGGCAATTAACTTTTCCTATGGCTGGAGCTCTGTTTTGTCTTTGACATCAAATGATTCACTGGACACTGCAGTAAGGATTTGCACTATATAAAAATTAGACTGTTACTAGTTACCTTCACAATTTAATCCAGTAGAATCCAGAGAAAATCCCCTTTGACATTCACAGGTAAAACTTCCAGGAGTGTTTTGGCAGATTCCTTTTGATCCACAAAGTGATGGATGAGAACCACATTCATTGTTATCTTGAGAAAGCAAAGGAGAAAGAAGGTTAGTTTACCTTGAGGAATGATTTAAGACATGTTCATGGAACATTTCTTAAGAGGCTGAAATCCACAGAGGTGCAACATTTTATTTTGCAGCTTTTCACTTTTCAAATGTCAGATGACCTGAAGACCCAGGCAGAGCTATAAGCAATCAATAAATTGGAAGTGCAAGTTGTAATTCAGTGATGATATAAGTGTGAAAGACCAGGCATGTAACTGCTGAGATTGGAAAGATGTTGCTCTTCTGTGCTAGCTGAACTAAATAGTTTCAGTTGGCAAGATTCATACATATGCTTAAGATCTAAAGACATCTGTACCTATTAAAAAAGAAAATGCAATCTGGTTTTGGTTAACTACATTTTAAATGAGATTTTAATAATTCACCCCTTTGTCTCCATGTGGTTATACTTAGAACATAATAACATGTATTAAATATGTACAACTGTTTACTAACCAAGAAAACACAAGTAGTGAACAAACTTTAGCTATAATTGTTACTTTTCACAATCTGTTTTCTGACACTATTGCTCTGTATAAAGAGCAAAAGAAATGACTGAGAATTGAGAATGTTGTTCTTACAGAAAAACTAATGATAGAAAACTCACAGTCTTCTTACCAATACAAGCTGTATGATGCTGTGTAAAACCAGGTGGACATTTGCACGTGAAGCCTCCAAGGGTGTTGACACAGAGAAACTGACAATTGTGTTGTTTGGTTTGACATTCATCAAGATCTGAAAGTAAGATGTTGTCTTAAGAAAAGTCAGCCAAAAAAGAGGCGCATTTAGTCTAATCTGATAAAAATACCACACTTCAAAACTGTTTCCTTTTAAGTCAAGCTGCAACACAATTACAAGTTAGTGTGTATAAAGTTCTTTACCTTTACATGTCTTTCCATCTTCCTGAAGAACATAGCCCCGAGGGCACGAGCACTGATAGCTCCCTTCTGAGTTCTTGCAGATAAAATTGCATGGTTTAGGAGACTGGGAGCACTCATCAATGTCTGAAGAGAGAAAACATTAAGTATCTCTTGTACTCATTTCTTTGACTGAAGAAAGTTTTCTGAAAAGCACTGAGTTTAAGAGAAAAATGTTTGCAGATAAATGGTTCACATTTGTTCAGAGTTTCTATTCCTTCCTCTGTGAATATGTTGCTGTGGAGTTCATTTGGGGTTGCCATTACCATGACAACTTGACTGTCTTGAAAGAGTAATACACTAGAGTTGACAGTGGCATTACTATTCTCATCTAAGGAAGAAGTGTTTATTTTTTGGCATACTATGGTATATTTGTAAGTGTTAATCAAAAAAGAAGTGGGAAAATGTAGATCAAGAAGGAATGATTTGGTTTGCCATTTAAAGTCATTATACAGCTGAAACAATTTTTAATGATCATTCTGTTGCAGGAATATTGCCAGTAGAGCTTTTTTGTTGATTTCCCCAAATGAAATACAAAAATAGAAGTGCATATTAGTAAAAATAAGACAGAAATGGCATAAAAGATATAAAGAGAAAAAAAATGGTTTGCTAAGAAGGTTTACAGAGGTTGATACGTCATTATGCTACAACTGAAAAATAACTGATGATTAAGATGCTGAATCTTACCATTACAAGATGTGCCACTTATGTCAGTGGTATAGCCAGATGTGCAGAAGCAGCGGAAGGAGCCCATAGTGTTAATACACTGTCCATTTCTGCACAGGTTTGACATGACCTTACATTCATCAATATCTGTACAGAAAACACTAAATGTCATCCCTCAGTTTATATTTGACCTCTCATCCATTTTTGAAGTTTCTCATCACCATGCTTCTGATAGGAACTTCATCCCTTCTAGCTCTTTGAAAATGGATCTGAATTCAAAGTCAGACATCCTTTAAACTTTGATTACTGTTCTTTGCTTCAAAACCTTCCTGCTGTTTCAATGGGTACTCAGGTTCCAGGTTTGCTCACCCCATAGAAGTGAATTTTCTTATGACCACTTACACAGCCAAAAATTTTCACCACTATTTAAAAGTATACATTGTCTTCTACTTCCTGTGTGGAAATAGCTCCACAATGCAAAGAATTGTGAGATCATTGTTAGAACAACTGTTGCTGCCTTTGCCATGTATGCAACTCTTCGGCATACAAAAGCTTTGGGAGCATTTCTAGCTTTTAGTTACTGGTTCGTACCTCCTGTTTTAGATCCCCATCCTGCACAGCTGTTCTGGTTGCAGCTACTGTTTAAATGTGTTTTTAATTTCTGGTCTCTCAGCAGCATTTGCAAAACCAAACTCTGTTGTTTAACAGGAAATTCTTCAAAGGAACTTCAAAAAGAGTCCCTGCATTTCCTTAAACATATGAGCATATTCTTTTCCCCTTTTTTGTGCCTCTTTTCATCCCTGCAAATACCTCTTCCATCTGTAGTATAGCCTGGTCCATGTGGACAGAGCTTCTTATACTGGGCGGTTCCAGGGAGAGGACAGAGCTTGCACTGGTTGCCCCAGCCCCTGCCTCCATTGCAGCAGCACTCAGACCTAGTGACAAGATTCTGGCTGCTTGAAGCCATCTGACACATTGTCTGCAACACCTCAGCAAAGCAAAACCCTTGGCGATTATCTGTAAGGAAGAAGGAGAGAGATTAACAAAGAGAAGGAGATAAACATCTGATCCATTAAGCATCTGATGCATTGCTCTGGCTCTCTGTCAACACATGCAAGCCCAGAAGATTATCAGCTACCACAAAGTCTGCCTTTCAGATTTGTTGTATGTTCTGATAACATGCTGCCATCCCAAATATATTCAACACATTCCTAATGTTCAGTACCTGTATGAGCTGGACAGGAGTTTTACTTGCAGAAACATTGTACCCTGGGGCATATCTGGTGAGCTTGCTTGATAGTCAAACAGGCTCTGGGCCAAACTGAGCTTCCACTTAAGCTGCATAGTCCCAGTTGTAGTGGAGTTAGAGGTTTGTTCTGTTTGTTTGCTTTAATGCCCAAAATAACATGTCTGATCATCTATAATTATCCTGGCGTGGTTTGAAAAACAAAATCCTTATCACTTACAAGTGTCTGTGCAACTCGGTACTTTCTCAGTGGTATTTCTAGTTTATGCTGGGGAAAATAAAACATTTCATGGCCTTACTATTGGCCTGGCCCTAATTCTATTTTAATTTTTAAACATTTTGGTTCATACCTGTCAATAATGAAAGGGGAGCAAAGCTCAAAAGTCATGGAGCTCCTACAAGTTTCCTTCAAACAGGCAGCTGAGGAGAGCAGAGATCCCAGTTTCCAGTGTTAATGGAAACTCCAAATCTTGCAGAGATGATATCTCCTGACTAGGCTGTGTCACCTGTCTTATTTATTAATTAAATGGAAACACTGTCAATTATGGTCTGAGAATTCTTGTGTTTTTTAAATGAATACTCTTCTGCTCTTAAAGCTAGAAGATTCTCTTATCCCTCAGAACGTGTGGATGTATCAACACTCAGCTGACCTCTTTTATAAGTATGAGGAGCTGAACCTCTACATTTCTTACATGAATTCAGGTGAAAGGCAACCTTTGGCTTTAGGCAAAATTTAATTTGTGTGCCAGGTGACTTAACTGTTTACATCAAATAAAACCAACCTCATTGAAAGTGTCAGCTGTGTGAGACAGGATGTTTGCTGCAGTAATTTGCAAGACTCAGCAGATTTCTGTTCTCCTAAACAGGTACATTGTGCAAGTCTTTATGCACATTATGACCCAAAGAATGTATAAAGCTCTGTCCCTAGTTTGAGTCGTGGAGTAAATGTTAATGTGAACAGAATATAAAGGTTTGCACAATGTATTTAAAACAATGTAATCTATGACCTAATGTTTGTGCTTCAATTCTGAAGGAATACTAAGTTTCTGCCAGACTCAGTTTTCATTGTAATTTCTAACCCAGGACACCCTAAAGGAAAAGCAGCAATGAGCAAATCTTCCCAAAGCACAGTTATCAGAAAATAATAAGAAAATTACTTATTAAATATAGGAAAGCAATAATGGCCTCCAAACAGGGTATTTCCTTGGCATTAAGGACGGTCTGGGGTTAACAGACTGCAACATTCTCTTCCCATCTGGTCTCAATCCTTAGGAAATACTCTGCACTTCAGTGTTACTGCTTTGCCATGAAGTCAGCACACTACTGATGACAATTCACAGGGAGCTTGTTTTATAGTACTTACACAAGACAATTTGCAGACATTTCTGAGGCAAGAATATTAATAAGTACTCTTACCATTTCAGTATTGCAAAGCACTTGGAAATATCTACACTTGAGCATTGACCATGAAAAAGTGATGTTTCACAGGTCAGTTTGACTTCCAAAAAGGCAACGATGAATTTTATAGTGCAAATAACAAGCCTGAATGTATTGAAGGGGAAACACAGGTTGATGAACAGAAAATGCTTCAATCAGCATTTAATCTGCAGGCCTGCCTCAAAACTTTTTAATATGTCTTGAGATTTTCTGGTGAAATCATATTCATGCACCTAGCTACAGTGTTGTAGTGCTTTTAGACACTGTAATGTGCTGCCCAGGGAGGTGGTGGAGTCACCATCCCTGGAGATGTTTAAGGAGAGACTAGATGTGATACTTAGTGCCATGGTCTAGTTGACATGATGGTGTTTGGTCATAGGTTGGATTCTATGATCTCAGGTCTTGTCCAGCCTTAATGATTCTGTGATTAAGATCATGTTCTGAATGTGCAAACACTCAATTTTACTCTGCATCCCAGTTTTTGATTTATTTCAAGGCAAATAAATTCCCCTTCTTCTTTAAAAATACCTATAGTTATGTCCTATAGAATTAAGGCACTTCTATGTGAGGCCTCTGATTATTGGACTCAGATGATACTCTCAAGGTGCTCTTCATTCCTATCATTATTTACTATCAGAGAATTTTAGGGGGTGGAATGGACCTTAGAGATCATCCAGACCCAACCCCTGCCCAGGGCAGGGACACCTCCCACCGGAGCAGGTTGCTCAAGGCTCCATCCAACCTGGCTGTGAACACTGCCAGGGTTGGGGCAGCCACAGCCTCCCTGGGCAACCTGGGACAGTGTCTCACCACCCTCACAGAAAAAGCTTTTTCCTAATATCTAATCTAAATTTCCCCCCTCTCAATCTGTGCCCATTGCCCTTTGTCCTGTCCCTGCAGCTTCTAACGAAGAGTCCCTCTGCAGCTCCCTTGTTTGTTTAATTACGAAGTATCATTATGTAATTTCCATAGACATGTGAGCTAATGTACTCTCTGCACCCTTTGCACTTTAATGCAAGATGAAATGTATATGAAAGAGGCATTTACCCAGACACTCAGTGCCTGATGGACCTGACAGGAATCCTTCATTGCATTCACATCGGTAGCTCCCAATGACGTTGACACAACGACCATTTTCACAGACACCTGGCTTGGAGCGGCACTCGTTTTCATCTTCACAAAAATGTAACAACAACAATAAAAAAACTGTTACAAGAAAGTGTATCAGACTCCTATTACATGTAAATTATTCTGTGGTGATACTTGCAAAACTCTTCCAAGAAGTGGAAAAATCAACAACCCATTAAGTCTGGAAAGGACTTTCCTAGCAAGATTATCCTGTTCTACTCCTTAAGGACTTCCCTACTAACACTTTCATATTTCATTCCTTCTGTGCTGCACCCTAGGATGAAAGCTTTAATGCTCTGTGCTGCACAACTTTTAACAAGGAGTAGAAAACACTTGCACTGTTAGAGCAAGGTCTAGTCGTAACATTTACCTGGCAAGAAACATTTAAACAAAATTGGAATATTTGAATGAATTGAGCAATAAATTTTCACTCTGTTATCATTAAGAGTTTCTGAACACATCTGACCTCTCCTGCATAAGCCCCATTTTGGTCTACATATTATTTCCCTCAGTTTACAATCTTCATGTATTCTCTTCCACAGTTAATGGCAGAGATGCTGTAAGCAATTACACATCTTTCTAGATTCTTAAAATAAAACCTCAGAAAAACATCAGGTGATTTAAAGGCAGAATTACAATTAAAAATAGATCAAAATTCTTGTTATGCAGATTATTTTCCATGAAAAAGAGAGTATTCATTCTCTTACAGAAGGAACATTGCATTAAAATACTTCCTTTTAAAGTTTCACTAAGATGGATGTTTGATTTATCCTTTTTTTTTTCCTCTGAGCCAATGGTAGCCTCAGCTACCTCTGTCCACAGAGAACTTTGGAATGGTCTCTTTTTTTTTTTAACATACCAGGAGAAATTATAATTAGCTAACATGTAGCTATTTGAGAAAATGATGGAGGAAAGTTATTTTCTTATTTACAGGATGGGTAATTATTTTCAACTATGTCAGTCTCCACATCTTTTGCCCTTCATGGCATTTATAGGTTGTTTCAGAATCTTACAGTGTTAACTCTTTAAAGAAGTGCCACATTATTTATATCAATGCTAAAAGAAACAACTTTTTATTTGTGATCATTTTGCCTCCTACTCATCAAATGAGGTCTCACTTGTTTGGCAATTTAATTTTTTTAATGTCTGTCAAACTTTCAAATTCAGTTGTACAACAAAGGACTTTTTCTTCTGGAGTCCTTATTAGTCATTTAAAACTACTTCCAGATAAGGCTCCAACCTTGAAACAAAAGGTTTAAGATGTTGGGTATCATTAGTTCTCTTAAGTGTCATTTATGAATTGGTATTTTCTAGTTTATTTTATACATATAATTTTTATTTGCTTGCTTGTACACATTTCAGTGGATGTTTTCTTCCCTTGCTATGCTTTACCTGTGCATCCTTCTCCATCAGGTCTCTGGGTCATTCCAGGAGGACAAATGCACATGTAGGTGCCAATCAGATTTTTGCAAATCATGCCTCTTGATTCACAGTCATGGAGACCTTCAGCACACTCATCTAGATCTGGAAAAAATTACATACTCTGTGTTGGAACTTCCAGTAGCTTCAATTACTGAAGAAAACTAGCAGTTTCTCAAGAAAAAAAGGCTTTTCTAACTAACAAACACAGAAGAAGAATCTAAGAGTTATGCTTATTTGCAGTTGTATTAATATTTGTGAAACGTAGCATCTTGTCATGTTAAAGATGAACTTCACCACTGTGACTTTGTTGGCTTTACAACACCATCAAGGGGTATACTTGATGATCAAAACACAAGATACTGCTCTGACGTGAGCTCTGAAAGAGTAAATCATCTGCTGGGCTGTTTGCCACATTCCACTGAGAGGATGAATGTAAGATGCACAAGAATATCTGGATTATGCTTTGGCCAGTACAGGGTGATGGAGCATGGGGAAAGGTTTATATGTTGGTCATTACCTTTGCACATCTTTTGGTCCTCTCTTAGTTCATAGCCAACTGGACAAGTGCACTCATAAAAACCATAGGTGTTAATACAACGAAAAGCACACAGCAAGGGATTCTGAGCACATTCATTTATATCTGAACAGAAAGAAACAAAACAATCATTTCCTACTTAGTTTTAAAACAATCAACAAGAAGGTTTTATTGTTCCTGTGCTTCTCTTATCAGCCAAGATGATCAGAAATGTAGTAATTCAAACCAGAAATTTACAGACGTTTGGTTTTGAGTAACTAGAGAAAATTGAACAATGCTCTGCTTAAAATAATTCTAAGCTCAATTATGCCAGTATTTAAGGAGTAAATACAAAATACTTTTTAAATGATCATACAATAAAAATCTAAAATAGGCTTGTGCGAAGTACTTAAGCTTAGGACGAGAAGTTGGGACAGGCCTATTTCAGATTTTTATAGTATTATAATTTATAATCTTTCAAACTCTAAAAAAGTACCATTTTTTTCTTCAGAAAGCAAAATATGAATCATAAAATGCTAAATTTGTAAGGAACATCCTGATCAGCATCTAACGAGAGCAGAATGGTTGTACACAATTCACACACCGTGACAAATAAGAGGTACTCAATGAAACTAGCAAGCGATTAGTTTAAGACAGATGAAAGAAAATACTTCTCTAAGTAGTGAGAAGAGGAACACTCTGGATCTTGCTGTCACAAATTGGGGTCAACAGATTCAGACTGTACTGGACAGATTCTTGGACAACAGACAACAGCAGATACTAAATCCACTCTGCTGGGGTGCATCCCACAGTTTACATCATATTTCCTGTATCCTCAACTCTTGCATTAGAGGGGTGAACTGCAGAAGTTGTTAAGCCATGCTTACATGCTAAATTAGCATTTCAGCTGTGAGTAATGAATTAATGGACCAGATGGACCAATGGTCTAACTTCAGTTTGTCACAGTCAGTATAACTCATTTGTTCCTAAAGCTGTGCCAAGTGGGTCAGTTCATAACTGCTCTGCCTCAGTTATGATGAAAAACCCTGCAAATTCAGGCACTTTAGCCATGGTTAGCTGTAACACTCATGAGGATATTCCGGGGGCTCAACAGTTACTTCTCTCCCATCCATTCCAACAAACAGCTGAATAATGTAACATGCCACAACATGCAGTTTGGGAAATGTTTAAGTCAATTCAGGACTTCTTTTTCAATGACATTTTTCAAGCACAGAAGCTTAATTTCCTCCTAGTTATTACAGCAGCAAAGACCTAGTTAAAAAAGTAATTTGAATACTGAAGGAAGGAAAAATAAAGAGGATAAGTTACCTTCACAATTCATCATTGGGCCTGGCTCAAATCCTTCATGACAGTTGCACTCAAAACTTCCAACCACATTAGTGCACGTCCCATTTCCACATGGGTTGCCAATTGAACATTCATCAGTATCTGTGCATAATGAATAAATGCAAAGTGAAGAGAACTGGGACACATTTCAAACTGTGTTTTGAATTCAAGTGTTACATTTCTTGTAGCAGTACACACCAATGCAATGTACTCCAGTGAAATCCAAGTTGTATCCCATGGGGCACTCACAGCGGAATGATCCATCAGTGTTGATGCAGTGACCATTGGAGCAAATTCCTGGGCTTTCAAGGCATTCATTGACATCTGAAAAGCAGGAAGATATTAGTAACCACTTAGCTGATGCATTTCTGTATAAGTCTTTAAAACAACTCATCCCCCTATTCTGTTTTTCTTGAGCTATGCAATTTCAAAGGTTTTTTTTAATTATCATTCCACATGGTCAGCCTCTTGTGACCTGCAGCTGTAAGGGGTAAACTGTCACATACTATAACATCTAAGTCTAGTTTTAAGTACAAATACACAGTTTTTCATTGTCAGAAAAAAAGAATACCTACCTTCACGAGTATCATCGATCCCAGGAATAGTTCCATGGCCATATGGACACAGGTCCTGAAAAGCAACTTTTTTTAAAAAAAGAGCAAGTGAGAGAGAGAACCATGACAGATCATTAAAGCCATCCAAAAAAATTCTATATCAACTGATATTAAACTCTTGCCAGATGCAAATGTAACACTGTCTCCAGATTGGTGAAGCAGCACTAGCACTTCTTGAGCTTCTTTGTTCATGTGCTTGGTGCTCTCCCTTTCCCGTACTTGGAGAAACCCAAGAACTGAAGACTCTTGATTACTTCAGGGATTCTTGGCACTGCCTGATTTTGCTCTTCTTTTTTGCCTAAAGCAGACTAGATCTACAGATGTAGGACACTAGTTCAGTTCTCTACAGAATAAAACCAACAACACAGTATTTCTCTTTTTCTGTGGTTTCTCCTAGTTATTGTTATTCCTTTGGCTGACCTGAAAATTGTTCTAGACAAGGCCATTAAGAGTGAATGCCAAAAAGATCTCTCTTTCTAATGACCAAAAGGTATGACAGCAATGTGCTCTTGCTTTTCTCCCACCTAAAAATTTTAAATCTCCATGTGTACCTTCTTCTTCCTTTGGACAGAGCTCACAAGGATCACCCCATCCTTCTCCTGGCATTTTACTGCAGCAACACTTTGCCTTTGTGGTGTTGAAAGCCTTTGGCAGTGAGCATTTCCCATTCTCAAAGTTAGTGAAGCAGAAGCTCTGACGAGTATCTAAAGAAAGAGAATACAATTACATGGAGATTGCACCTCCTATCTGGTCAGATGATGACTGACTGACCCTGAAAGGAATAATGTAAGGCCTGTATTTTTCAGACTATTTTGAAAGCACTTTGCAATCCTCATAAGGGCATAATTTGGAAGGGACTTCTACAGAGTATCTGTTGTTGGTGGGAATAAGTTATTACATTCCTTAGTCATTAACTTACCAAAACACCTCCGTCCATTATCAGACAGCACAAAACCAGTAGGACAGATGCACTGGAAACCCCCTGGAGTGTTCGTACAAGACCCAAAGAGGCAGATGTTGGGATCCTCATTACACTCATTAATATCTGTAAAGTAATGGAGAAAAGTTCACCATAATGCTACTGGCTGTGAATTTCTTGGTTAAGAAGGACTTTTTATTTTTCTATTTAACTTCAGCAGCTTCCAATAAAGTACCCAAGAGATAAAAGCAGCCTGACCCTACCACAGGCTCTTTCAAATTAGAGCTTTTTACTGGGATGTACCTTCCTTTCCAAATACCATCCTCTGTTCTTCACCATATTTATAATAGGAACATTAAATCAATGCTTTCAGGATATATTTCTGGTAAGAACAATATTTTTTTGCAAACATAAAACATCCCAAGGTGGATTTTTTACAATCCCTATGTTGGGGATTTTTTAAAATTAAAGGTGTGCTTTGTTCATGCTGACTGACAGATTCTGGAACTGAAACTATAGCTAATTATTAGTAGAGGGCGACCTGTGATTATATTTACATACTCAAATTAATGTTTTGCAGCCTTTCACTGCCACTTTTGTTGTGCTACTTAAAATCTGTTCCTGTGCAATTGCATAATTTAGAATATATTGCTATTAGAATATATTGCTATGACCATTTGAAAACAGTGAGATTTAATCTTTTGAAATAGTGTTAAATAATATATTAAATAATTATTAAAAGCTTAAGCCAAAATACAAGTACTTAATATAAACATCAAGTGCCTGTAAAATTCTGCAGCTCAAACAGTACCAGGCTGCATATCCACATTAAGAGACCTTTGACTTTTCCTAACTATTATTCAAGATTACATTTCAACTTATTCTATTCTGCAAGTACTGACAGACATACAGACATAAGCTTCCTTGGTAAGGCAAATTTTAAAAGCAACTATGATTTAATAAATTCTGAAATGCATTTTAATAATCTTCAAAGTACAATCCCTCCTGAGTCTTTCAGTAGGAATATTGAAAGAACTGTCACAAAGACCTATGGATCTATAAGGTTTCTACAATAATATCCATATTGGTCTTAGTCAAATTGTAGGCAGGAGCAGGGACTCTCCATCTGAGTAAGCTTCATGGATGTTGAGTCACAGAGCTGCAGTGCCATTTTTGCTCATGTTTATTGGGTTCTCTACAGACAAACCACTGCAGCATAGTCTGCCATATGACTGAACTTTGCCGTAGCTTCCCATCGACACTCTCTTAGTATGTGGAGCATTAAATCATCTTATTTCAATGAAAATGGTAATTAATTTCCCAATTGATGTGATAGGTGTTAATATACAAAGCTCAGTAACTGAGCTGCATTAATGGGATGGCAAATTGCTCCTTGAAGTACTGATTATTACTGTAATGAATGGCTTCAGGCTAGTGGAAGAAACTCTTTCTGTGGCCATGATGAACAGGTGACTAGCCAGGCTGTGGGCATAAACATCTTTCCCCTTTATTCTGATAAAATTGAAAGAAATATATGAGTAGGTGAAAAGTAAGAATTTTTCTGTGGCCCCATTCATTTTGGTTTCTCCTGCATATAATCACCCTGAGCTCAAAAAGTAATCTAGCCATTGCCAACCTTTACATTACAGACAGAAGTAATGAATTCCTATAAAGGTGTTTGCATAAAACAGCAATGGAAAGTAATGGGGAACATATGTTGCAAGAGCTGTCATAATATTAATCTAAGTATTAGTACAATCACACGTGATCTCCTAGGCATTTGCTAGGAGCTGCAGCTGCAAACGTTCTGGACACATGGCAGCATGAAGAAAAAGAATGTAATTAAGTCCCTTTTATTCAGTATGGGCAAAAATCTGTTTGGCAGTCACTGATGCTGTCAAAAATATCAAGAGCTTCTGAGAGGGTACTCAAGTGGCCATAAACAGTAATATTCCTGGAAAACTGAAAGCTTTCATTTTTTACATTTATGACTTTACAACTGTAGGTGATTTGAATATATCTCAAACATAATTGCTCACATGGAAGCAGCAGCTGCCAAAAGAAACCATGAAGTTGGCAGGCAAATGGAACGTGGTGGCATGATATGAGAGGCTTAGAAAATGAATCCTATTGTTCAAGACAAAAACTCAAAGTGGTTCCTGTGATCCAGTTCCTGCAGCCATACAGATTAAGTGGCTCTATGTCAAATCTTTACATCCTTTCCAGTTTTTTCTTCAGTCCACACAAGGACAAGCTACACATTAACTGGGAGTTACTGGGATGAATATGTGTCTGGGGTTTCACACCCAGATAACTTCAGTCATTTAAGACGAAATACAGGTTTCTTAATAGAGTCACAGTGGAGAGACAGGTGCTTACTCTATTCTCTGACCAGACAGACACCTAAGGCTTTTAGCTTAGCTACCTCACCTAGTTGTGTGCACCTTCCTTGCCAGGTGCCCACACGGTTAATTTAAACGCCCAATAAATTCACACTAGTCCTGCGCTTTGCTCTGCTGGAAAAGGAAATTGTAACTTAGATTTATTTTTTATTCTCTGCCACACCAAATCTTCACTCACGTTGTGACATTCAGTTCCTGAATGACATTGGAGGCTTTAATTGAGACCTCTATGAACAAACCAGAACATACAAACTGAAGAAAGGTCTACTGTGTCCTCTCGTTCCTCCTGTGAATCTCAGCACTTGAGAGGCATTATATAAAACACAGAACCAGAAAACAATTGCCAAAATAAACCAATTTAATTGATTGTTCTCATAAGTTCCATAATTTTATCAAGATTTTAAAGTTCATAGCCCTCTAAAACCAGGTGCTTAGTTTGTCCATTGATTGCCATTGATTTACCTTCTGTAAGCATTGTATAAATCCAGTGCACAGGTTGGCTAGTTTAGTGAATTATGTTTTAAAAAAAGTATTTTTGTTTGAATTAATGAAGAACTCAATATTCAAAATATAGTCCAACACAGTACAAAGCATTTTGCCTCCCACTTTTTAAACCCCTTTCTGAAGACTTTTCATACTCACTTGTTCCCTGTCACCATGAGTCACCATGACTTTAAGTCAGGAAACACTCACAAACAGGAGGGTGTACAACTGCTTTCCATCAAATTAGAACCAGTTCCTTTTTCTACTCTTACATTGTGCAGAACCAACAGTTACAACTTGCCTTACCAATACAACTTTCAGTTTTCACTTCATATCCTGGTGGACAGATGCATCGGAATGATCCTTCCAAATTCTGGCAGGTACCAGGAGAGCACGAACCAGGCAGTGCCACACACTCGTTAGTATCTTGGAAGAGTAGATGGAATTAAGAAGGGTTTAAAATCTTGTAATTCTCATGGTAACAAAACAGGATCATTCAAGAAAAATACTGTAGGATTCTTTACTAATTTTTTTTCTAAGGCGATTAATTCCTTGAAGAACAACAGCTACTCCAAAAACTGTTAGTTCTGTGTTTTCACTTACGTCACTATCTTTCCTTTTTGTACTTAAGTTCAGACTAATAACTCTAACATCTCCCAGAGATGGGAGCTCATAGTTTATTTCAGCTCATCAGTACTTTTAACATCGTCGTGTGATGTCATACATACCAATGCAATTCTTGCCATCTAGAGTAAGTTCATATCCTTCATTACATAAACATTTGAAGGAACCAATTTCATTGAAGCACCGTCCGTTTCTGCACACCTGACCAAAAAAGGAACTACACTCATCAATATCTGTAAAAAAGAGGAAATAAAAGCCCAGAAACGAGAATTGAGTCCCAGCACAGTATACACAGTGTGTTACAAACGTACTTAAGTTGTAATAAATATTTTTGTGGAAAATGCAGATTTTGCAGCAACAAAGGAACAGCTGGCAGCAGTGGAAAGCAAGTCTCACTTGAGAGCATTAAGGTGTATGTTCTATTTAAACAACACTCTTTTTTTCACAGGGTATTATAATTTTAAGACTTGTAGCATTACCTCATTTACTGCATCTGGAGACCAATTACTGCCAAGTGACTGTATGATACCAAGTCCACAAACAGAAAATAAAATATTGGATAGAGTGTTCTGGATTTTATCTGAATTTATATGAACTGGAGTTTCCTCCTAAAACCTGGCCTGCCATTTTTAAGTTTTGGACAATTTAATTTGCTTTCCACAGAATGATTTTCTCTTTCACAACAGTTCTGAAAATAAGGTTTGGAAATGCTCATTATTTGGTAGGGTTACTTTAATAATGCAGGCTTACAGGAAAAATACAGATGAGAAAGTGTCAGGAGAAATGAAAAGGAGCTTGGATAGGCATCTTGGTGTAAGAAGAACTTACACTTTGCTGCTTTACAACACTTGAATTTGAATGATGAAGACTAACATCAGCTTTACTGAAGAGGTTTTAGTCTTGGTCAGAGGCACTAAGTACAAGCTCCTGAGGAAGATGTACTTTCTGCTTCAGCCAGTATAGCCATGTCTGTGTTACTACCTTATTCCATAGTGCGTTTCTTCTGTCTTACAGTTCTACAAGCAGGAATACCTCCAAAGTACTATAGCAGGATGGGCTAAGTTGCCTTTGAATGACTAGGACAGTGTGCAAGAAAGCCCTGAGACTCTCCAAGCTGTCAAGAGTGTTGGTCTCTGAGTCAGACTGGGCTCCTTGGCCTCCCTGAAGACAGTCTGGAGCAGAGGTGTTGGATGCTCCAGGCAGTAGGCTGGCAGATATATTGCCAAAGCAAAGAACCTCCTTGGCAAATAGTGCCCTTCCTTGGCAGCAGACTCCTCTTACCGAATCTGCTTTTAATCTCCTTGTCCTCTTTTCTGGACAAGAAGATAATTTCAAATACTTTTAAAAAATGTTTTAGTTCTCTCCTGAACCAGAAAGGAACAAGCAGACTTTGTTCTGTCTTTTTTTCTGTAGGAGAAAGGAATGTAAAGCCCTCCTCCTTTTTTGCTTATGCTCTGCACAAGGGAGAGGATTCCCAGATGCTTTTGAGCCTGTTCTTCAGCCCAGGAAGATTTTAGTTGCTTTATCAGAAGTATCCAGGAATTTAAATGGTCCAAACTCCTCAGATATTCTGGTGTCTCCTGCTTTAGGAAAGAGGAAATAGCAATGCCTGTATCAGCTCTGCATAGCTCTGCTTGCCTTAGGAGAACATGTCTGGTAGATTAGTTGTACTAGCTTTCTTACTGCTAGTGTGGTTCCTCTTTCACACTGTGTGCAAGTGTCAAGTAAAATGGTGAAATAAGCTTTAAAGTCATGAGGAAGCATTGTTGGTGTGATATAACAAGTGCTTACTGCAAGTGGTGCCTATGGGCTGTGCCAGTAAAGACGTGCTGAATTACCCAGGAAAGTTAATGGAGGCCAGACTTGCATTAAAACATCAATGAACTGAAAAGTTCAGACTGAGAGTTTGTATTATCTCAAGTTGCCCTGTAAAAAATACTTTTACTTAGTTTAAAAAATGATCAACCTCTAGCGCTGGTAACAGTAGAAGTTACTGCACTCAAGTTACTTTCTTCACACCCTGACATGTTTTCTCTTTAGCTATATACCATCTTTCTTGGCACACCAAGCCAGCAGCAATGAAAATAACAAGCCTGGATCACATCCCTTACCCACACAATCATTATTACGAGCTAATTCAAATCCTGGATAACACAGGCAGTTATATGATCCCACTGTGTTTTTACAGGTTCCATTTCCACATGGATGTTGTTCACATTCATCCACATCTGCAAAGAGAAACAAAGTGCATGTGAGAACTGATTTTCCCAGGTATGTGTTAAGGTGTTATCTGTTTACAGTTACAATATTCCTAACCTTTGATCTCCCAGTTCATCTGTCACATTTTCTATTTATTCTACGGACTTTTACAGCTCCTCAGTACACATAGGAAAACATTACATGATGCATTTTTATGTGTGTTTTAAAATAACTGATACTGCTACATGTAAAGATAAATGTGCATGTGCAGTATCTCAAGGCATTCTGTCTTTTTATTTCCCATATTAACATTTCTTAATTAACATACACAAGCGATCAGAACTTAGCAGAAAGGATTAAGCATCACAGCCCTGAAACGATCAAATTTTATGCATATATTTTACCTCATGCCTATGAAAAGCTGTTGAAAATGCAATTCATAATTTGATTTACATATGTAAATGTGTTATGGCAGTATTTAATCCAGAATTATAAAGACTGCTTACAAGCTTTTGGAAACATCTGTTTTTAAAAGGCACTAAAATTCAATGTCTCCTGCTGTGTGTTTCAGTAATTTCTGGATTTTGTCCTCCTAGTTCGTCAAAATTTTGCACTGTTAACACAAGTCAGTTTCCAGAATATTCTCCTAGATAGTATGACAAATGTGGTTTAGTTGAAATATGAGAAGATTCTAGGCATAAATAAATATGTACTACCAAGTGAGCAGGTTTTAAATATCTGTTTAAAGTTGAAATTGGAACATGCATACCCTGTAGAAAACACTGAACTTCTCTACATCTTAGAACTGACATTGAGATTATAACTAGTTCAAAAATCATAATAATTTTTCGGCTATTTCAACTCAAAAAGAAGCAAATATAGATATGCACCATCTTTTCTTTTTAAAACCCT